CCCTCCCCCTCCTTTTTAATAAAAAAACATATGGACAAATCCCTAGCTATCCTTATCACGTTGTAGGCATTTAATAGGAATTTGAAAATTAGAGGAAAATATAATTAAGTGCTTCTAATTTCGACTTAAGTATAAGTATGAATCTTGTTATTAATAGATCAACAGGGAATCCATTGAATTAATTAAATTTAAGTATGGGATGACATACAGATTTCCATTTCACACCTAAATATAATAGCATTTATACCATTCTTCATATTGCTCCTTCTTAAGACTCTGGAGTTATGAAGTGATGAGGACTCATTTTCTAGAAGCTCTACTTGGGTTTTTTGTTTGTTTGTTTCCAAATCTGATGTTATCTTTTAGTTTTCTGTTTCCCCTGGGTATCCTTAAGCTTGTTTTTTTATTTTCTTTACATATGGTAAGAATAGTTGTTTTGTAGTCTGTGTTTGTGTGTGATAATTCCAAGATATTAAGTCTTAGTGGGACTGTTTTTGATGTCACGTTGCTCTCATTAGTGTGGTCTAGATTCCCGTGTGTCTGTTATCTTTTACTGTGTGCTAGTCATAGTATTTAGAAAATTTTAAAACCTGAGTGGAAGGCACCTGACTCCAGAGAGGACTTGCATTTGTTTCTGTCATTTGTGGTCAGCTGTTTCCAAATTCCTGAAGGATAGTAATCTTTAGGATTCAGGAACAAGAAATTGGAATTACTGGTAATTCCTAAAATTAAAAATTGTTTTGTATTAAAAAAAACCCTCTTTATTTACATGTTCTTAAATAATAATAGTAGTTACAATAATAATCAACAGTGAAAAATTTTCCTGGGTTAGGATTATACTAAAAGTTTCAGAAATTTTATATATGTGTATATGAGAAATACATATATGAAATAAATTCATAGCTTATTATTATGAACCAAAATATTGTGACAAGATTACAATTTTAATGACATGTAAAAGTGTTCTGTACCTAATAAGAGACTTTTTAAACATTTTTTACGTTTTATTTTAACATAATTTTAGATTTATAACAAAGTTATAAAAACAGAACTTCCATATACCCTTCACTCAGCTTCCCCTAACCCTAACTTCTTACATAACTATAAAATATTTATCAAAATCAGAAAAGTAACATAATAGAAATTTGATATTATAAAACGTATAAAGAAGGGAACATTAACACAAGTTAATTGTTAAATAAAAATCATTTTTTAATTATAAAATAATACCACAAATATTTAATATTTAAAAATTATTCTTAAACTACAATGTTAAATACACAAAGCATTAGTTGCCTTATCTGTTAGTCTTGATCTTTGTTTTTTGACTAATATTCCAGATATAGAAAAAAGTTTGCATTTTGCATGGATGTTGGTTGAATTGTTCAGATTGTATCTAAAAGCATCTTCAGGTGGGGCTGTTAGGGTACGTGATTCTTCATGTAAGCTCATTTTTTTTTTTAACAATGAAAATATTTTATCTTTTTCTGATTTTGGTTTTGCCATTGAAATTGATATTGTTTTTGCTGATTCAAGTTTTAGACAATAAATTTGTGATTATTCACACCTTCTCTTTGCATTTATTCTGTTGAAATATTTACAAAGAACTATAACATACAGCAAATAATAAGCACTGGAAACCACTGGGCAAACATTTGTGGGTAAAATTCAAATAATGGAACATTCGCCTCTCTGAGCAAGATTTAACATGACACAGAATCATGTGTCAGAACTGCCAGTTTAAGGATTTGTTTTGCTTCTAAAACTTGATAGTTTTTGGGCCATCATTTGTAAGATTTATATAAAATATACTATAGAAATAGCTTATTAATATTTTGTTTGCAAGAATTACTCACTGTTAGCAACACACACACAACACACGCGCGCACACACACACACACACACACACACACAACATAGCAACAGCTACAAGCAAAACTAACTGATTAGATCTTGATTACCTCTTTCCTGTGTACTCTTGTCCTGGTGAACCTTAATCTTTCACTTTGTGTGTCAGTATTTTCTGCTCTTGCTTTCAACCTGATATGGGTGGAATTCCTTTAAACTAGTAAAATCTCTACACTTATTGTTAAGTTTTGTTCTCACAGGAATATTAATAGTATTTTCTCCTGGTTTCCAGATTTCTCAGCTGCTTTTTCTTAGG